CTGTGCCCTCTTGTCGGACTCTGTGTGTTGAGTGAAAACTTCCTGTAATTAACTCCCAACCCTTCTCTATTAATACGTCGGGCAAAGATCAAGTCACCGCGATGACGACGGTAATCAAGGAAAAGAGGTACAGTTGTTTGAATCTGCGAGAATAGGACAGGTCCCGCAGCGCTGGAACCGATCTGAATCCAGGCAGTTAGGTCTTTTCAATTATATACCCTTCAAATTTCGTAAGTGGGTAGGCGACAGGTAGACTGAATTCGGGAAGCGGGCGTACATGTGAAATATACAGGAGTCGGAAGAGCCCAGGGGCCAGGCGAGAGAAGGCTCTGCGTATAGAGGGAAACACCCTCTAGGCTGCCGCGACCTTTTTCTAGGTATCTTCATTAGATTTGTGGTCAGGCGAAACTATCCATCACAAATCCCTCACTGGAGTGGCGTTCCTGAGAAAGGAACCATTAACATGGTAGACTCCAAATGGGTCAGACGCACCAACTGGAAGAGCCGAACATTTCGCACGATTCATTGGCGACTGCCACTTAATTGCTCGATCATGCGGCAGATCGGGTTGCGACTGTAAACTGTCAGCATCTTCCATACTTGATACCTCCATCCACAGCTTCAAGTCGTCGGCGTAGAGTAAGCAACCCGCGTGGAGTGTGGACTGTAAGTATTGTAAGACGTTAAAACGAATGGGGCCGAAGACAGCACCCTATGGGATTCCACTAGTTATGAGAACAGGGACGGATAATGTTTCGTTTGCCTTCGCCTGTATCGTGCGGTCTTCAAGGAAAGTGGAGACCCAAGAGAGATGAATCCCGGTAATACCGATGCCTTGGAGTTTAAGCAAATGTCGTTTATGCGGGATCCTATAGAAAGCTTCGCTGAAATCAACAAACTCAACTTCCAGGCGTTTACCGGGATCTAGCGACTTTGCCCAATTCGCCTTAGCAACCAGTATGTTCGAGGTACACGAGCGTGCCCTTCGAAACCCATGCTGTGCACAGTAGAAGGGATTCAGTTCCGCGAGGTATGGTTGAATAGCCTGCTTCAAGGTCAGCTCCATAACTTTACTCACTATCGATATTAAGCAGACAGAACGATAGTTGGCTGGATCATGCCTGTTCCCTCTTTTGTATTTGGATTTGACAATGCCAACTTTGCAAGTCGACGGAAGATGCTCAGCTTCAAAAGAACGACGGTAAACCAGACAGATAAGATAAGCGGTACTGCGCCACCGTCCTAAGGAACAGAGGGTGCAACCCAGCCGGGCCGGGTGAAGAGTGCGGATCTACATCATGGGGAAGTTTAACCATAGAATTGATGTTAATGTCTACTTGATCCAACAGATAAGGCAAATTAGACACAGTGTTGTCGCAGGAGGGCGTTCCCTTCGCGAACACGGAGGAGTACTGATGGGCCAAAAGACTGGCTTTATCAGCGTCTCCGTTAAGTAAATTTCGATGTTCGAAGGAACACAAGGTAGGGATGCCAAGGCCAGACCTGGCGCTTCTTTTCAGATTATTAAAAGCATTTTGGGTGTCTTTCTGGAGTGTACTGCTAATGCTGGTCCATATTGCTGACGTTGCTGACGCTTCAGCGTGACACAAACATCCCTGGTTTTCAGGTAGGAAGAGGAAACGGACTCTGTTTGAGGTTGTCTGAAACATTCCCAAAAGTCGCGTCTTCGGTTCATCAGAGATCTCAATTAATTGTCAAACCAAGGTTGACCCCACTTGAAGGACTTTCTACGAGAGAATGGAACAAACTGCAAAATTAGGGAGTCATTTTAGAAAGCACAAGGTTCCACGCATCATCAAGAGGAATGGGATCAGGAATACTCCAGTCCATAGCGCTTGCGGCTGTTCTTATCCGGAGTGGATCCACATGCCAAAAGTTCTACCGACAACCACCTTGTCTATGGATGGTGAGGCGTCGTGTCCATTAGAATGAAACGACACAGTGGTTACTTTTGGCGATGGGTTAAAAACGGTTGGATTCGTGACATCTGACTGAGCTTGGGTGAGCACAAAATCCACAAAGTTTGGAGTTTGGTCCGCAACAATGCGGGTTGGCGTAGACCTGCTTAAACAAAGCACAGTTGATAACAGTCGCAGGTAAGGTAGCATCAAATAGATCAGGTGGACGAGCACAAAGAAGTAAATCCGAATCGACATTACGAGCATCAAAATCCTTTACAATAGGATTGTCCTTTCCCACACCGCGTTTCTTGATAGAATCGAGAAATTGAACTCCGGATCCCGATGGCGCCCTGTAGACGACACCAATATTGAAGCAGCTGCATCCATCATGAATACGGCATCAAAAGCACTACCGTCGTCACTAGTAGCTGCTACCAAATGGGCCTTGAGTTCGGCCTTGCAGTAAAGTATGACGCCGCCACGGTCCTACCTCCAAGGCGATCGACTAGACAATGACTGTATCCGAGGATAGAAACCTCTGAACCAATGCTATTTACAAAAAGCCAAGTTCCGGTGAAGGCCATTAAGTCTGAACGAGTATCTGTTGCACGCAGCTGTACCAAATCATGTTTATTCCTCAGCCTGCGCACATTAGCAAAAAATACACGCAGTCCGTTCTCGTGCTCTACTGTTCCGGATTGAGGAGATTTGGCCTCCAACAGATTCCAGAGGTTATTCGGATTACGTAAAAAGCCACGATGCGGAGGTCAGTCTCACCACTCGTTAGGCGGAATCGAAGCTCAACCGCGGCTGTTTTTACTTTAATAGGATCTTCCGGAGAAAGGTCTCTCGGGACGTAAAAGGGCTCACCTTTCAAACTTGGGGTTTGCCGGGGGATGCGTCGGCATTGCGCCTTGCTTTGGCATACGACCTTGAGGGGGCGTGCCTTAAAAGGAACTTCATGCTTCCTGCTTAGACGGAAGGCAGTGATAAATTTAATGTTTGTACACAATTCGCCTTCATCGAATAACATGAAAACCATTCGCTAAAGGGACCCTTGGTCATCCAGCATCCTTTCTGCAGAGGTGTCCTTGGTGGAGCCTAGCGGATGCACAATGATAAGACATCTTTCACGCGAGGGTGCTGGAGCGCAGCCATAGGTTTGCGGCTGTGGTGATGCAAGTCCTTGATCCACCTTTCCATCTCGTTGACTTTGTCGAGAACAGATTGCGCTTTGGACTGGAAAGCAGTTTTCTTGCGTTTGGACTTAGGCTTCGACTGACAATTACATAGAGTTTGACTCCGGCCCATTGGGACGGTGGGAGCGTTCCGCACCCGGGCAGCGAATATATCAGTCGTGGGAGCACTGCGCAAGGCTTGAGTCAGAGGCTCTGAATGGGAAGCAGGTGGGACCCAGTTTCGTTTACCCGTGGGGGTAGCTGAGCCGAAATTGGGTGTGGACGAAAAAAGTAATGAAACAAAAGAGTCCAATGCAGTGGAAGCTTCAAAGTTCGTTAGGGTAGAGTGAGAGTTCAGGCCTGGCAGTGCGGCGTGAAGCCGTCGACTGTTTAATGAAGGACGGCAGCGGCTACAAGAACCTGTGATAGCCGATATAGTATATGATAGCAGAGACGCATATAGTTCAGGACAAAGGTCGCAACAGGAAGTATGCATTCATCCGTCACACTTAGAGCACTGTACGGCTATATAACCCGTGGTCACACTTTTACTGCAACATAGGTATTTTGACGTCAAAGCTACCAAATCGGATAGCTCTTCCCACTCGATAAATCGAAGCAAATCCTTCACAAAAGCCGAGAACTTGGAAAGGCGTCGGTATGCGTAGGTCATCGAAGACACATATCCGACGCTCTGGCCCCTGCTTGTGGGGCTGCCACCGCTTTCCATTAGTCGGATTTATACCTTCGGAGCTCTAGTCGGCATCGGAATAACATCGGTTGAAAGGAAACACAGTAAAGCAATTGTGCTTGATTTTCCTTCTAGGTTGAGTTTTACGTAAGGTGCTCTTTTACCCCGCACTCGAACTCACTAGGTAACGGTCCTCTACATTATTTGATGACTCCGTAATCTTTGAAAAGGTTAGTTTTTTCTTCATTATGTTTGCTCAGCTTTCTTGTGAAGAGTTAGCTGAAAATTCCGTTACATTTTCTTTATCATACTTCGCAGGGTCGAACCCACGTGCTTGAGTTATTCAAGTTAACTTTATCCTTCGTTTCCGTAAGAATACCTCGCAATCTAATGTTTCCATTGGTTAGTGCTCATTTACCTACATACCTGGATAGAAATCCATAGATATCCTCCACCCAATGCCGACTGACTCACTTTATAAGGAGCTTAAGGCAGCCATGTTAAGACGCACTATCTCATGGAAATAGTCACGAATCCAGCCAAGGAGGGGTCCAGAGCAGGCAGACAGCGAGGGCAGGCGGGGGACAGGCTGCCAGCAGCCACAGAGCAGTCCAGAGAGGGAGGCGGGGCAGTAGCGGGCAGGAGGGGCTCCAGCCCGCAGGAGAGCAGATCCAGAAGGTAAGGGCCAATCCAGAGGGAGAGCGCAGAGCCAGCAGGTCCAGGAGCCCAGCACAAAAGAGGCAGAGGGCCAAGGGGAGGGGGAGCACGAGGGGGCAGGGCAGCGCAGCGGCCAGCACCGGCTTCCCAGGAGAGCCATCCAGGGGTCCAGCAGGGACACGCCCAGGGCCACAAGCCATCCAGAGGCCAGTCCACAGAGTCCAGGCACAAGCAAGGGTGCCAGCATAAAGACGCCAGGGCGGGGCGCCAGCCAGCGGGCAGGGGTCCAGACCAGGCAGGGCAGCCAGCCACAGGGCAGGGAGGAAGGGGCCCAGGGAGGATGTCCAGCACCGGCGCCCAGCAGCAAGCCAGGCAAGCCAGAGCCAGCAGCGGGGAGAGCAAGAGCACCAGCCTGCAGAGGCGGCCAGCGGCGAGCAGAGAGGCTCCAGGAGCCAGACCCAGTCCAGGAAGCCGGGAGGCGGGAGAGGCAAGCGCATAACAGGGCAAGCCAGAAAGGGTTGGCAAAAGCCAGAGCACAGGGATGAGTCCAGGTCAGTGGAACGAGATATCCCAGCAGCGCAGGGTCCACCAAGTCAGGACGAGGAGAGGGACAGTCCAGCTAGAGGCACCAGGGGAGGGCCCCCCCCAGAGTGCCCAGACAGGGAGCGGTCCATGCAAGGAAGAGGCAAGCCAGGGAACCAGGGGAAGGCGCGCCTGGGCAAAGATGGGGGGTCCAAGGCCCCAGCAAGGATGCCAGTCCAGCCCTGAGGTCCACACGGAGGACCAGACCACAGCCAGGGAGAGAGTGGCGCAGCAGGAACAGGCCGAGCAACACACTACCAGCCCACCAGGCCACGCAGGAGGAGCAGAGCCAGCAGCACGAGCAGGCAAGGTCCAGAGGCAGAGGCCAGCGGGGCAGCGACACGGAGGGATCCAGGGAGGAGCGTCCAGGAGCCAGTATCCAGCCAGCCACCAGGAGCACAGAGGGGCGGCCCGGTCCAGCCAGGAAGCCAGAGCCAGTGAAGGCCAGCCAGGAGCAGAGTCCAAGTCCTGCCAGAGCACCAGGTCCAGCCAGGGCCCCCAAGAGCAGAATCCAGCAGCTCCAGAGCGTTGGGCCAGGCCAGTGGTCCACGAAGGCAGCCCAGTCCCGAGCCAGAGGCAGGGGGAGAGAGTCCAGAAGGGGAGGAGAGCAGAGGGCAGGGCCAGTCCAGAGGAGAGGGAGCAGGCAGCTGGGGGAAAGGGAGAATACGAATCCAGCCCAGTCCACGGAGGGCGGAGGTCCAGGGAGAGGGGGGTGGGCCCGCCAGGCGAGGCGAGTCCACACTTCCACAGGGCCAGAGGAGAGAGCTGCAGAGGCCAGATGAGGCCAGCACCAGGCGAGCCAGGTAGAAGCAGCAGGCCGAGTCCAGGAGCGAGGCGTGAGGCAGAAAGGAGGAGGCTGAGGAGGCCAGGGCACCAAGAGGAAGTCCAGCCAGGCCAGGCGACCGAGCCTCCAGAGGGGCCCGATCCAGGATAATCCAGAGGACGGGCGTTCCACACCACCAGAGGAGTACAGCGATCCAGGGGCCAGGGCCGGAGAGTCCAGATAGGGCGCACGGGGGAGGGCCAGCAGGGATGCGGCAGGGGGAAGGGGGCAGCAACAGGGCCGTCCAACCAGCATGAGAATAGGAGGCCAGAGGAGGGTCCAGGGATGCAAGGTCCAGCCAGAGTCAAGCCACGGCCAACGAAGGGCCCAGGAGGCGGCCAGGCCAAGGCAGACACCCGGCCATCCAGGGAGGAGCAACCAGTCCGATCCAGGCCTGGCCAGCAAACCCAGCGAGGGGGTGAGTTCCAGGCCAGCTCCAGAGAAAGGAGCCAGCACAGCCAGCCCAGCCAGGAGAAATCCAGTCCAGGGGAGGAGAGCCACAGTCCAGGCAGCCAAGGACCAGCCAGAGCCAAGCAGCAGGAGAACCAGCCAGGGGGTCCCCCCAAGGGTCCAGCAGAGGAGGCTGGAGAGGGGTCCACAGACCCATCACAGGGCCAGGGCGGAGCCCAGAGAAGGGGGCTCCAGGCCAGAGCGAGCAGCAAACGAATCCAGTCCAGCCAGCAGGACGGAGCGGTGGCCGTCACGAATCCAGCGCAGCCGCAGCCAAAGGAGTTCCACAGGGGGAGCCAGGCATCCAGGCGCCAACAGGAGCAGGTCCAAGAGGCGGACAGCCAGCCCATCCCATCCAGTCCAGCCAGCCAGAGAGCCAGGGGGGGGGCTCCAGTCCGAGGGCGGAGAGCAGCAGAGTCCAGCCCGACCCCCGAATCCAGCCAGGCCAGGGGAGACTGCCCAGCAAGAGGGTCCAGTCCAGCCAGGACCAGTCCAGATCCATGAGGAGAGGAGCGGTCCAGGCCACCAAGACCCACGGCAGAGGCACACGGGACCCAGAAGGGCAGAAGGAGGGGAGGCCAGGGGGACGCCAGGATCCAGCCAGGTCCCGGCGCGAGGGCGGGAGAGAGCCAGGATCCAAAGGCCGCCAGAGCGGAGGCCATGGCACCTGCAGGGCCCACCAGGAGGGATGCCAGACAGTCCAGGCCAAGGAGCCATGCAGCCAAGGGGGGGTGCAATCGCCTTCCAAGCGCAGAGAGAGCAGGAAGCAGAGCAGCGGGTGAACCAGGGCAAGGGGGCCATGCACGTCCAGGGGTCCAAGGGGTGGGCAGGAAGGTCCAGCCAGGGCCAGTCACTGAATCCACCAAGGCAAACGTGGGGGTGTGAATCCAGGTCCACCACGGAGCCACAGATCCAGGCGCAGGCCCAGGGCCAGAGTCCAAGAGTCAAAGGAGCCCTGGGGACGCAGTGTCCAGCGGGAGAGTCCAACGGGGGGAGGCCACGAGCAGGGGCCAGCCAGCCAAGAGCGACAGGAGCCAGGTGCAGAAGCCAGAGGAGGAGATGATCCAGACGAGAGCCAGGAGGAGTCCAGAGAGCAAGGAGGGGGACCATGGGGCAGGGGGTCCAGGGCCGGGGGATGGACGACACGTCCAGGAGACGGCCAGGCAAGTCCGGGCAGCGGACGGGCCCAGGGCGGCATGACCAGGTCCTGAGGCAGAGGACGAAATCCACGGGAGCAGAGAGGCCAGCTCCCCAACAGGGACGGTCCAGGGGAGCGCCACCAGCTGAGAGAGGCGCGGCTCCAGCTGCCAAGCCAGCAGCAGGCAGCAGGGAGCGGGAAAGCAGGGGTGAGCCAGGGGACCAGAGCCAGAGGGTCCAGAGTCCAAGCCCCTCAGCCAGGGACCAAGTCCACCACAGAGAATCCAGATGCCGCCAGGCTAGAAGCTTCCAACAGGAGGCAGTGCACGAGGGGAGTCAGGAGGCCATAGTCCACGAGGAAGGGGGGTGGGGGGGCCAGGATCCAGAAGGTCCAGGCGCCCAGCGCCAAGGGAGCAGCTGGGGAGAGCGCAGAGGCCAGCCCAGGAGACCAGCCAGAGGCGAGAGCAGTTCCAGGGCCAGGGGGGCCGGCAGAGGCAGTCAAGGGCCACGGACCAGGGGCCCAAGAGGGGTCCAGGCAGGGATCCAGCCAGGAGTAGCCAGCAAGTCCTGAGAGGGGCGAATCCAGAGGGGGAGATCCAGTACCCGGCCAGCGGCTACTCTCGGGCGTATAGCTTGGTAATCGTACACTGTCTCAGATCTTGTTAACTTTGCAAGCACGTGTGAGTTCAGCTACCTTGGATGCTTCCATTCTTCGCTAACTCTGGATTAATTGTCTTCCAGCAAGCACGACGGCGATATTAGTGCAGTTTTGGCTAAGTACCTTGCATGCAATAACCTGGCGGTAGCGGCCTACAAAGTACGCGAAAATTTCGATATCTTGGAATATGCTTGGAACCGACTGGGATTTCATGATGGTATTAAAGCGAATTGGGAAGTCATCTTGTCTTCAACCTGAGATGTCTTAAATATGGGATTATTCCTAAAAGCCTCGGTGTCAGATCACCGGGCAGTTCTTTCGCATATATTAAGGCAGCTATCAACGCAAGCAAACATTCCTAAAACAACGAAGTTACATGAAAACTCGACGCCCGAATGACATCCGCCTTCGTGCTAATCGGCTGAGCTGGTAGCTGCTGAGTGCCATAACGCAGACCGACTATGAAATACTTTACAACAAGGCTTCGAAATCGAAATCAACGCAAAAGATAGCTGCGAAAGAAGGAGAAGTTCGTAGGTTTACTCATGTGTTGTCTATGCATACCGTGACCACTAGTCTCATAGATAGGTCTGACTCTGGCAGTAACTATTACAATGTAGTTAATATGTCAGATATGCTGTTGAGTGCGACGAAAAGCATATTACTAAAAATTAGTTTGAACTTTCTTGTAAATAAGCCTAAACTAACTGCAGAGGAAATTATTACTAGCTTTGAGACCGTGATGACGAAACTACCAGTGTCAACATCTGTGAATATTTGTCACAGACGGCGGACATCATCAGGTTTCAGCAGTCTTTGGAACCAAGAAGTTTACCAGCGGAGCTTGCCGCATTAAACGCCTTAAGAGACGACCCCACCATCATCAGCACGAAAGTAGATAAAGGCAAGAATGTAGTGATAATGGACAAATCGAAGTATGTGGAAAATTGGAACAGTATTTATCAACAGGACCCTACGAAACAATCGAGAAAAATCCGTATTGTCCATAATGAATAAGTCTAAAACTGAGGTAAGCAAGTACCTGAGAAGTGTGAAAGACAACCTAGGGCGGGGTAAATGGTTAAGCGTATATCAACAATCAAAAATTCCATCTGGGACCTATGGGCTACCGAAAACACATAAGCCCGAAGTTCCCGTTCGGCCAATTGCAGCTGGTATCGGTTCTCCAATGCACGAACTAGCCCCATATTTGGCAGGTTTGTGACAATCTCTAACAGAGAGAACAGATACGTTTGTACAGAACTCTTATGCGTTCTCGTGAAAGGTTGCTGGTCTGGTCATCGCGCCAGACGAAATAATGGCTAGTTCCGACGTTAGCACCCTATTCACTATTGTGCCAAGGGTGACACATTGGGTATAGCACAGCGGTCTCACTGAGGACAATAGCCAAAAGCAGGGAACGAAACTCACGGTAGATCAGATAATCGATGGAATTAAATATGCCTTTATATATCATATTTCACTTTTAAGTCGAGGCTGTACTCTCATGAACGGTGACTCGCCATGGGGTCACCAATCTCCTCCGTCTTGGCAAATCTGTATATGGAAGACACTCAGTGAAGGGCGCTGGCAAACTCCAGTGGTTCGATAAAGATTTGGTGGCGCTACGTGGATGATACGTTTGTGATTATAAAGCGAGAAACAAAGGATGCTTTTCAAAATGGTCTTAACCCCATTAATGGAAATATTAACTTTACTATGGAACTGGAAGCTATCAGTGTCACACTGCCATTTCTTGATTGCCTAGTTCACAGGAAAGGTGTACAGATAAAGCAAGGATATATCGTATGCCGACAGATACGGACGGAGTGCTTCTTTACAGTTCTGGTTATCCAAAACAAGTCTATGCAGATGTCGCATCCTCTCTGTTTGTTCGAGCCCAGGCACTGTGTACAGAGAAGGAGGACAGAAAGGCCGCTGTAAGGTGGCGGTAAGCAACTTAGTAGACAGGGGATATCCGAGGTGGTTAATGAAATGCCAATTGCAGCGAACTCTGAATCCACCTTCGCGACACAACGAAGTGGATTGAGGCAGTGGGAATACCCTGTAAAAAGTGAACCTCAGAAGCAATCAGGCGAGTACTAAACAGGGAGAACAAAAGAGTGATTTTTCAAAAGAGTCAAACGCTCTACTCAGCACTTTTGCCTTTAAAGGATGCAAGTTCAAGTGACTGGACGACAAATTGCGTTAATAAAATCAATTGCAAAAACTGTGAACACGTGTATATAGGTCAAACATTGAGAAAGCTAAGCACGAGGATAGCAGAACACAAGAGGTGTGTTTTGCGTCCACCGAGAAATGCGCCTGAATACAGAGCCCTATTAAAACATTCAGCGGTGGCCGTACATGCGGTAGGGTCAGGACACGCGAATGATTGGGACAATGTCGAAATACATAAGAGGGGATTCCCAGCAACAGGTCAAAAGTTGATTGCTGAGACTATCGAGATTAGTAAGACTAATAACTGTGTTAACAAAACAGACGGGGTGAAGTTATCGAACGCGCCGCGGGCTGCCTTAACCCGGTCAGTCAGAAGAGATGTCGGCGGACGAACTTAGGTCGGAGAGTGAAGCAGCAGCTGTAAGAAAGCAATGCCTCACATCTGAAAGACCTGTGACGTGGATAAATGAGAACCGTTCGATGCTTGTTGTTTCACTAGCATGGCCACTTGACCTATTTCCCTGTAACACTATTATCCAATGGTTCACGTTCTGCCTTGCAACCTTCAAGTTACGTTCCCATAAAAAGCTAAGCCAATTATGTACCAATTCACCTGGCTCGAAAAGGCTCTTATGTCAAGGGCTAAACGTTGCTACAATAAAACCATACCAGAACGAATTTCTATTCAGACCCACCGGAATACATGAAAATTTCTTTAAAAGCGCCGTGAATCATGTAAATGAGGCGTCCACTAGAAGCACTTCAGGGAGTGCCACATTAGACCATTATTGAGTTAATCTCAAACTCGGAACTCAGCCTTTTTCACTGCCGTGGTCGAATACTGTAGCAAGTATCCACTTCCACAAGCAGACCTCGCAGCAAGTCCCGCAGACCAGCGTCGCGCTCTTACTGCTACTTCCGTAACCTCTTTGGTAAGGCAGCAAGATACTGCTATCCAGAGTGTACTCACCCAAAGGCTTTCGTTAATTCCAAAGCAAGAAACGTCGAAGCCAGCCAGTAGTGGCGACTGCTGCTGCTGGCCAAATTATCAGTCGGCTCCTGTACGTATTTGCTTCTACGACAAAACTCCAATTTTGGTTGACACCGGAGCAGGGATAAGCGGTATACCCCGTTCCTTGGAAGAGCGCTCGTTACAGCCGGCTGGGATGACGCTACAGGCTGCTATCCAAATGAAGCCTGCAACTTACGCCAGAAACTTCTCACGCTCAGTCTAGGTCTACGTTGCACCTTTCCTTTCATTTTTACAATTGCTGACGTGCAAAAGTCTATCATCGGTATCGATTTTCTTAGCAAATTTGGCCTTGTAGTAGATCTGAGTTGTGCGAGGTACCATGAAGCTACCATTCGTCAACGGTTTCCGGCAAGCATACTGCAGTTAATTCCATCAGACTATGAGTTCTTATGCCCAATCATTTGCAGCATTCCGCATTTTTGCCGAACTTTCCATCGCTTGTCGGAGTAACTAAGGATGCAACGGAACTCCAGCGCCAAGTGCAACGTCACAGCGTCACAACTGGTCCACCAGTGACGACGAAGCCACGACGACTTACCCCGGATTAATTGCAGGCAGCTAAGCACGAGGTTGAGCGCATGCTCAACAGTAACCCTGACAAATGCCATCTTGGCCAAACTTCCATCGAATTCCTAGGTCAGAGAATTGAAGCCAACGGCATTAGCCTCTTGACTGAAAAACCCAGACCATGCTGGATTATCCATTGCCACAATCCGTTAAAAGTTTACGCCGTTTTCTTGGAAGGAGTAACTACTACGGACGATGTATACATGGATGCGCTGCAATCCTTTAACCTTTAACAGGTTTACTCAAAGGTAATCCTAAAAGTTCACATTCACTCTAGATGCAGAAGCAGCGTTTAACACCGTCAAGTAAATGCTGAGCCAAGCTACGTCATACACTTACTTGAGGACGGTGGACAATGTCACGTTCATTCTCAAAGCAAAAGCTTCACAATGCACCGTTTTTGCCGTATTGCAGCAGCTCGTAGGGAACGCAATTCAACCGTTGTCTTTTTCCCACGGAAGCGACAACCTGCAAAGACCAGGTACAATATGTTTGGTAAAGAGCTCCTTGCCATGTACCTGGCTGTAAAACATTTCCGTCAAGCTCTTGACGGTCGACGTTTTGTCATCTTGACAGACCGTAAGCCACTTGTGTACGCTTTTTTTGCGACTCCTGGCCGTTA